AAACGTGTGCATAAATAAAACGTCAGGTGGGGACAAATGCCACAAGAAAGAATGAAGCAGGCCCAGGAGTGAGACGGAGTGGGTGGCACGTACAGCAGAAGGCAGAGACCCCTGTGTCTTAGTTACCTAGTGCTTCTATAACCAAAATACCACAAGTGGATGGCTTGAACAAACAGAAATTTATTTTCTCACAGTTTAGGAGGCTAAAAGTCTGAATTTAGAGCACTGGCTTGTGGGGAAGGCTTTCTCTCTCTGTCGGCTCTGGAGGAATGTCCGTGTTGATCAGGACAGCCTCTTCTCAGCCATGTTCGAAGGCAGGCCTCTCTCTGGCCCTTGGGCCCTCAGCCCCTCAGCCCCTCAGCCCCTCAGCCCCTCAGCCCGGCCTCTGCCCTGCAAATCTTTACGGAGGCAGACTGCCATATCTTTCTCCCTCAAAGCAGCTGATGGGTTTGAACCCCTGACCTTTCAGTTAGTAGCCGAATTCTTAACCACTATGCCACCAGGGCTCCTCATGCTGAGTGAAAGAAGCCACGAAAGGACAAATATTGTATGATGCCACTTACATGAAATATCCAGAATAGGCAAATGCATGGAGACAGAAGTAGATTAAAGGTTACTGGGGCTACGGGGAGGAGAGAATGGGGAGCTATTTCTTAAGAGGTACAGTAGTCCCCCCCTTATCTGTGGTTTCGCTTTCCATGGTTTCAGCTACACGTGGTCAACTGCAGTCTGAAAATGTTACATGAATAGCATGATGAAAGCTCTCACCGTCCTGCTCCATCCCACCTGGGGACCACATTCACATAACTTTCATTACAGTGTATTGTTATAATTGTTCTATTTTATTTTTAGTTATTATTGTTAATCTCTTACTGTGCCTAACTGATAAATTAAATTTTATCATAGGTATGTATGTATAGGACAAAACAGTATATATAGGATTCGGTACTATCTGTGGTTTCAGGCATCCATGGCAGGGGTCTTGGAACATATCTCCCTCAGGAACGTATCTCCCGCAGATAAGGGGGGACTACTAGTACTGAGTTTCTGATTGGGGTGATGAAAAAGTGTTGGAAATTGATAGTGGTGATGGCTGCACAACATCATGAATGTAATTGTTGTGTGTCGTGGAGTCAATTCTGACTCCTAGCGACCCCGTCTGACAGAGGAGAATGCCCCACAGCGATTCCTACACTTGTAATTTTTACAGAAGCAGATCACCAGGTCTTTCTCCAGTGGAGCCGCTGGGTGGGTTAGAATCACCAACCTTTTGGTTAGCAGCCAAGTGCTTACCTGTTGAGCCACCAGGGCTCCTTAAGAATGTAATTAATGCCACTGAACTGTACACTTAATATGGCAAATTTTGTGTTATATATATTTTACCATAATAAAAAAAATTAAAAACCAAAAAACAAACTAGCAAGACAGACAGGCTGGGCCAGATGGTAAGGAAACCCTGGATGTGGGTCCCGTGTCTGGCCCCTCTCACTATGTGACCCTGGGGAAGGCCTGCCCCCTCACGGCATATGTGTGCACGCACACACGTGAACACCCAGTCTTGCGAGCACAGCCCTGGATTCAGGGCCTTGGACCTGAGCCATCCGGGCCAAGGCTGCTGCATGACAGAGCCCTGGCCTGCACTGGGCCCGGCGACCTGGCCACATTTAACCAGAAGGGAAACAGACCACATTTGACTCAGAATCACGGGTTGTGAAGGGCCACAGGATCTGTAGTCAGGACACCTGATATCTTAGTCTCCTGGGACCGTTGTAACAAAAGCCACCACAGAAATTCATTGTCTCACAGTTCTGGAGGCTGCGAGTCTGAATCAGGGTCTCGGCTGAGTGGACTCCTTCTGTGCCCTCTCTCCTGGTTTCTGCTGTCTGCCAGCGATCCTTGGTGTTCCTTGGTTTGTAGGCGGCTCCTCACAGGAAGTCTGTCTGTCTTCCCCCTATGTGTGCCTCTGTGTCTATTCTGCTCTTTTTATCAGACACCACTAGGAACACATTAGGTTTAGGACCCACCCTACTCTGGTGTGACCTCGTTAACGAAAAAGATCCTATTTCCAAACAGGGTCATCCACAAGTACGGGGTTAGGACATCTGCATTTAGAGGGAGACAGAGTTCACTCTCTAACACCAGTGTGCACCCCAGCCCTAACATAGACTCATAGCTGAATGTGGGTCCCTCGCCTGAAAAGTGCACAGGTCAGACCCACTCTTGGGGTCACGATGGGGTGGGGGAGGCTTGTAGATGGGGAAGAGCCTTGTAATTGGAGAGTTTCAACTGGACTTCTGTGAGGCCTGAGGAGCCTCTTAAAATGCAGATTCTGGTCTAGTAGCTCTGGGGCGGGGCCTGGGGGGTCTGCATTTCTGTCCCTCCTGGGACATTGATGCTGCTGTTCAAGACCTCACTCGGAGAACTGACGAGCTAGAGAAAAACCCAGAGATTTACCTATTTATTCAGCAGATGTTTCTAGAACACAAACTAGACCTACACAGGAAAGAAAGAAACAGTAGTAGAGATTGCTTATTTTTTGGGCTTGCTTCCCGATGCCAGGCCAGTGGGGGATGGGGTTCGCCCTGGGCGGTGTGGCGGGGGGGTTACTACGGGCTCTGGGTCCCTGGGCAGCTCCAGTGTGGCTGAGGGAGCTGACTAACATTGAATCCAGTCACATTCCAGCAATTACATCTCATCACTGTGGCTCTAATCCCTAAAATTAGTCATTATGTGGCTGCAGGACCATTTAGCATTTGACAGTGAATGAACTGGTATAAGTGGGGCCTGCCAGGACTGGAACCTTCTGTGGCCTGGCTGGCAGGCAGAGGGGAGCCCCCCCACACCCTGCATGTGGCCCCCATGAGATTTTATTCCAATCCTACCTGGCAGTCGGCACACAGAGGACAGCAAACTTAAGGGAGGTTAATCAAATTGCCCGAGCGGGAGATGCTCTCTGGGGACCTTCGCTCCCCATCCGGCCCAGATGCATCTGGGTGGGACAGCTTTTTCGGGTTTTCTGCTCTTTCCTCCCTCCTCTCAGGGAAGGAAAATCCCAGATCCCTGTGGAGACTCCTGTGCCCTCTGCCACCACCCGGCCACTCACCACCTCACGTGCTCGGTTTCCCAAACGCGTCAGAGGCCAGGAGTCAGGGCCTGGGGGCCTGCTGACCCTCCTCCGCTCTGTGGGTGTTAATCACCTGCTCTGGGGGCGGGGTGTGTGCCTGGGGCAGGGGTGCTGACACCAGGACTCCTTCCCCACGACTAGGCAGGCGGCCGTACACTGGGCCAGGCCATGCATAAGAATAAGCAACGCTTCCCTGCTTCTACACCAAGTGACCTGTCTTCTCCCCACTGGCACTGAGGGCCCGGAGCACCACTCCTGATGGCCGTGGGCCCCCCAGGCCTGGTCCATCTCCCTTGGCCCTGCCACAGCACCCCTGGGCTTCCCTGCTGCACCCCTTGGCATGGGCCACCTGCCAACGAAGGCAGCCCCTTCCTGCCCCCGCTGCCCCCCTCAGATGCTGGCCCTGCAGGAACCCCCACCCAGGCCTCACCCTTGCTCTCAGTTGGCGGGCAGAAGGCAGACCCTCAGAGCCCCACTGAGGGGACAGCTCTGCTGTCGGGGCCTCAGTGTAGGCCTTAGAAGGAATGGCGGCCTGGAGGTCACTGTGGTTGCGGTCTTTCGGTGGGATTCTGGGGAGCACCCCTATCACACACACACACACGGACACACCCCGTGTTAGGCCAGGCCAGCAGCTCTGACTGCCACTGTCCCTGTGCAGCAGCAGAGGGACAGAGTAGGAGGCTGAGGGTCAAGGTCCTGCCTTTCCATCAGAGGCTGGTGGGGCTGTAAGAGTCCGGGAGCCAGCTGGCCACGGAGCAGGCCCGGCTCTCAGCCCTGGTCACAGGTGACTGCACTGGTTGTACAGTGAGGGAGCGACTGCCTGAGGCCACACACCAGTGGGGTGGAGCTGGGCCAGAGCCACGGCCTCTTGACCACACCCACTGGCTTGCTCACTTGCCCTGGGAAGCTGGAGACAGGACTTCTGGCTGGATGGCCATGGTGGCAGCAGGTGGTGTGACCGTTCCTTTCCATCGAGCTGCCCACTCTGTGAGGGTGGCATCTGCCCCCGTTCCCCCGAGTGCCAGCCTGTCTCTGGGGTGTGGTGCGGGCATGAGCAGCGGGCAACCTGTGCTCAGGTCTCAGGTAAACCACGGTGAGCCAGGCTGAGAAAGAGCAGGAGGAAATTTTATTTCCTAAGGAGCAAGTCCCCCCTGGCTCCCTGGACAACAGGCTCTGTGAAGCGTGGGGGTCAGGGCAGGAGGCAGGAGGGCACTTGGGGAGAGGACAGGGCAGTGGGCCCCAGCTGGGCAGTCAGTCCCCCAGTCCGTCCAGGGCCTGACCCCGAGAGCAGCCTGGAGCCCCACCCACCAGGATGTAGAGGATTGCAGACCTGGGCACCCAGGACAGGCAGTGAGACCTCCCTGGCAGACCAGGGAGCTCGGGAGCTCCGTGATCCGGAAGAGAGGGCCGGGGGGCCGGGCCAGGACATTCCTGAGTAGCTCTGCCCCTGTAGGCAGAGGTGCGCCTCTAGGAGCACGTGTGTGCGTGTGAGTGTGCGTGTGTAGGTGTGCATGAGAGTGTGTGCGTGTGAGTGTGCATGTGTGGGTGTGCCTGTGAGTGTGGGTGTGTGAGTGTGGGTGCGTCTGTGTGCATTCATGTGTGCATGTGAGCATGGGTGTGTGCATGAGTGTGTGTGCCTGTGAGCATGCATGAGTGTGGGTGCATGCGTGAGTGTGGGTGTGTGCGTGAGTGTGGGTGTGTGAGTGTGGGTGTGTGGCTGGCGTGCACAAGTGCTGGCCTCCTGGATGGTGACAAAGTCCTGACCATCAGTCAGGTTGCTGTCATCCGCCTAGGCAGAGGGAGGAGATTGGGGGCTGAGGGGCCAGGGGCTTGGGTCCCAGGGGCTGGCAGGTCGGGGTGGGAGGTGGTCTGGCTGACTGGGGCTGGGAGCACAGGGACAGGCCGGGCAGGCCTCTCTGGCTGCCAATACCCCTCCCAAGGCCGGGGGCTGAGCAGTCCTGTGGGAGCCCATAGCTGCTGCTAGGCCATGGTCTGGCGGCTGAAGAGGTCGAGGGTGAGTGAGCTGAGAAAGGCCGGGATGCTGTCCTGGCGCAGCAGATGCAGCTCGATGAGTTCGCCAACTGTGCGGGAGAACTCCGTCTCCAACAGCTGCATCTTGGCCCCTGAGGGTCCTGTGGCCTGCAGGTGGGGTGGGAGACACAGAAGGAAGGAGGTGAGCACGGCAGTGGCCTGGGTGGGTCTCTGCCCACACCAGCCCTCTAGCAACAGGGGGCCAGAGGCCCAGGACCATGAGGGCTGGCCTGCAGGAGGGGCCTGGACAGTACAGGGCCAAGGGCCTCAGGAGCCCCAGTCAGCCAGGGTGGGGTACCCCTCACGCAGCCCCACTCAGCCTTGTCTGACCACATCTAGACATTTTCTACCAGGCAGTGCTGTTTCTTGAGGTAAGCAACTTCACCTGCTTTTCTGGAATTCTAGAAGAAATCCAGAAAAGCTCAGCATCTGAAGCCTGGGGTCCAAACTCCATCTCCTTGCCTCCTCCGGGCTGACCTCAACCCCCTCCCCATCCTCAGACATCTACAGTGGCAATGCTGGTGGTGGTGGCGATGATGGCAGTGATGGTGGTGACGGTGGTGATGGTGGTGTTGATGGTGATGATGATGTTGATGGTGACGGTGATGATGGTGGTGTTGGTGATGGTAATGGTGATGATGGTGGTGGTGATGGTGGTGGTGGTGGTGGTGGTGATGGTAATGGTGGTGATGGTTGTGTTGATGGTGATGGTAATGGTAATGGTGATGGTAGTGGTGTTGGTGATGGTGGTGGTGATGGTGATGGTGGTGTTGGTGGTGATGGTGATGATGGTAATCATGATGTTGGTGGTGGTGATGGTGGTGGTGATGGTAATGATGGTGATGGTGTTGATGGTGATGATGATAGTAGTGATGGTGATGGTAGTGATGACGGTGATGATGGCAGTGTTGATGGTGACGATGGTGGTGGCAGTGATAGCGGTGATGGTGGTATTGGTGGCTTGATGCACTGGGTGCTAGCACCTCTCTAAGCACTTTATAGGAATTACCTATTTAATCTTCCTAACAACACCATGAGGGAGGTTCTATTATTGCCCCATTTTATAGATGGGAGGACTGAGGAATAGAGTGGTGAGGTGTCTCTCTCATGTCATACAGTGAAGGGCACTGAGTCACAACCAGCTGTGTGGTCCTGGAGCTGACATCACCCTGAGCCTGGCAGGCCTTGATGTCAGAGCCTCTTAGATAAGTCCTGCTCAGTGAGGCGGTTGACCCTGGGGAGAGCCCTGAGGGGAGCCCTGAGGAGGTCAGGGACTGAGTAGGGAGGCAGCCGTTGAGAGCCAGTCCATGCCAGGAGAAAGTGACATTTCTACTCAGTGCATATCCAATCCAATGTAGCCCCGTAAGCACAGGGGGAAGGGCAGGCTGGGGATCACCTGGCCTGCAGGCCATCCCCTCAATGGGCCACAGCTGCTGGGCCACTGTATTTGGAGAATCGCAAGGCTGGAAGGGGATGTGCCCCCAGGAGATGCCCAGTGACACTTGACATTCCTGAGGACTGGTAGGGGTGGGGGGTGTGTGTGTGTCCCGGCTTCCCAAGGCGGATACCCCATATCCAGACAGCTGTTACCAGTCCACAGCCTCAACTCTGCCCTCTGGCCAGAAGACCAACCACCTGGGGTCTGGGAGGGGCAGGACTAGCTGACCACCACCCAAGGGCTGGGAGGAGGTGGACACACTTTTTCCACACCCTTGAAGTTCCCTTCCCAACAAGCTCCCTTCCCAACCATATGTCTGGTGAGGGACTTCTATTCAGAATATATGAAGAACTCTGATAACCCAACAATAAAAAGACAAACCACCCAATTAAAAATGGGCAGAGGATCTGAATAGACAGTTCTCCCAAGAAGCTGTACAAATAGAAGCACACGAGAAGATGTTCAACATCATTAGCCATCAGGGAAATGCAGATCAAAACCACAATAAGAAACCACTGCACCCACACGAGGATGGCTATGATCAAAAGACAGAAAACAGTAAGTGTTGGCAAGGATATGGAGAAACTGAAACCCTCATGCATTGCTGGGGGAATATAAAATGGCACTATGGAAAACAGAGCAGCACTTCCTCAAAAAGTTAAAAACATAGAGTCACCGTGTAACCCAGCAATTCCACTCCTGGGTATGTACCCAGAAGAAATGAGAGCAGGAACACAGACACTTGTACACCAATGTTCACTGCAGCACTATTCACAATAGCCAAAAGGTGAACACAGCCCAAGTGTCCATCAACAGATGACGGATAAACAAAACGTGGTCCATCCATACACTGGAATGTTGTTCAGCCATAAAGAGAAATCAAGTTCTGATACAAGCTATGACATGGATAAACCTTGACAACAGCATGTTGAGTGAAAGAAGCCAGACACAAAAGGACAAATATTGTATAATCCCACCAATGTGAGATATCTAGAAAGGGCAAATGTATAGAGACAGAGTAGACGAGTGGTTACCAGGGCCTGAGGATGGGGGGTTCGGGGAGGTGACAGCTAAAGGGCACAGGGTTTCTTTTTGGGGGTGACGAAAATGTTCTAAAACTGGTGATGCTGCACGACTCTAATATACTGAAAACCACTGAACTGTACACCTTAAAGGGCGACTCGTGTGGTATGTGGACTATACCTCCACAAGGTGGTTTGTTTCTTTGGAAGCTCCCTTATCCAGCAGCCGCCGGGTGCCTACAGGAGCCTCTGCCCCTGTGCACGGCTGACCTGTCCCCTCAACCATGCCTCACCCGCCGATCTACTGTGTCCCTTCTTCCTCCTGGGCCTGAGAAGGGGGTGTGCTTCCTGCACCCGTTTCTGCAGCCCCACTTCACAGGCTGAGAACTTGGGGGACGCCGGGCAGCTGAGCATGCTCCCTTCCTGCTGACCTGGACGTGGTGCCTGTCTGGGGTGCGCTCTCTTTGAGACCCCCAGGAAAGGGCAGGCTGATCTCAGCAGGAGCCAGCTCAGTGTGGGGCCGCAATCCCTCCCTCCCCGAGACCCAGGCCCCCATGTGTTGCCTCCCTGTCCCCCTAGTGACCTTTAAGCACCGTCCTCCGTGCCTGACCTGTCATGTGGCTGTCACTGCCTTGTTTGTTCCATGTATTTCCCCCTGCCCCCCTTGCTCTGCTCCCCACCCTCTCCTGGGCAGCTCTCCCTGGCCTGCCACCTGATAATACACTTAGCCTTGTCATAGTTCAACACAAACCATTTTTAAACAAAAATACGAGAAACCACTCTGACCTTTTACCAAGAAAATCCTTTCATTTCTGCCTCCTGCTCTTGATTCTGAATGTTTTTCCCCCCTAAATGTCAGAAGGGGCCGATTCTCCGGTAGCTGTCAGGGGAAGATGGGAACTCGGGGGGAGGCGCTGGGGTGGGGGGCAGCAGGAAAGGAATGACAAGCCCCGTGGGCCCCACCTTGTTTGAGCCTGGCAAGGCTGGCAGCAGCATCCAAGGGTGCTGGCTCTGTCCAGGGTGGTTGGGGGCCCCAAGCTGGCCTCTGTGGATCAGAGTCTAAGCCCCCAGGCCTTGCCCTCTACCCTCCTGACCTAGGGGTGCCTCTTCAACAACATCACACTCCACCAGTCTCGCCTGTACACCCATGGGGGTAGTCCTCAGCCCCATCTCTCTCTGACAGAAAGACAGCTGTTCTCTGAGACCTGCCCCAAGCCCCTGCAGGCTGCGGGGTCTCGACCGTTCTTTATCTGGAACAGACCTTTCCTCGTAGCTATCGGAGCTGTGACTGCGCACTAGGGTCACAGGCAAACCTTAACAAAGACTAACATCAAGGCCACCTCTAGGCCCATCATCCACCCTCCCAACACCATCCAGGACCTTCTCTGGGCCAATCCTGTGCAGTTCTGGGACAATAGGTCAGATAAGGTCAGCTCTGCTGGCCAAGGTGGAGGCAGATATGCTGCTCCACAAGTGGACCAGGACGGTGACCGGAGTGCTTACAGGGCACAGGGTGCAGGGGGCAGGAAGCAGGAGTGATTGGGTTTCTTTCTGATCTCAAACACCCAAAACAAAGCAAATCCAAGTGTTTGCAAAATGCCAGCGTCAGCTGATGAGCTGCACTTGCCCTGAAGGCAGCCCCAGGTGGGCAGGGGGCAGGACCCCGATAGGAACCCCACGCTGCAGCCGGCCCCAGGTAGGCAGGGGGCAGGACCCCGATAAGACTGCCTGTCCACTGCCAGCCCCAGGTGGGCAGGGGGCAGGACCCCAACAGGAACACCCCTCTACAGCTGGCACGAGGCTCCCAGCTTCCCTCAGCCTGGGCCCTGGCCTTCCTCAACTCCACCTCCCTGGTGCCCAGCCTCCTTGGCCCAGAGCTCCTGCTTGGACACGGTTCCCCCAGATTAGAAGGGGTCCATCTCCTCCTTAGAGCCGGCTGCAGCCTGGTGTTATCAGAACGTGCCGAGTGAATTATGCCACGCGATCAATCTTGTCGCCGCACTCTGCTGTGCTCAAATATCACCCAGTCCCCAGGTACCTTGTAAATCACTGTAATTAGGGGCTGTTCACTTAAAATTAGAGCACAATTTTTTAAAAAGCAAATTGCCCCGGAAGATGTGTTGGTCGCGGCTGGGAGTATTTATGGACTGATGCGGCCTGTGTCTCTCGCTGAACTTCCCCTCTGTGCGTGGAGGTGACGGGTGCCCGTGGGAGGGGAAACCAAGCCCTCATGAAGATGCTGTGCCGCCCACCTGCTGGCAGACGCCAGGCTCCGCGCCTCCGACCTGGCTGGGCCTCCATCCACCTGGTATGGAGAGGGCAGGCCTGGCTCCAATACCTCCAGCCCAGGCCTGGAAGCCAGCGGTCCAGGCAGCAGCAGAGGAAACTGGCTGAGCACAGAGGGAGATGCAGGGGGCATCACGGGCAGCAGAACCGCTGATGTCAGGGTCCCAGCACTGCCGCTGTGGTCATTCTAACACGAAGTTCATGAGGATCCTGTAACGTGCTCATGCATGCCAGGTACCAACGGGCTTTTGTGAATGTTGGCTTTACCTCTGCCCAGCCTTGCGGTGCCCTAGCCAGAGGACAGCATCCAGGGCAGGTGCTCCTGCTGCCCCAGCAAACACTTCCTGAGAGGGGAGGAACCA